GCTACTTGAATTCTAATTCTTTCTTACCTTAATTCTAAAGTTAGTGATTATGAAATATGCTACAATAAGTCCTCTAAGATTTCATTTTTGAATCAAGATTTCATATCGATAAATGGAACAATTAGGTATCTGTGTCGTAGTCCATATTTCTATTACTTGCTGGTTATATTTGTCTTGTCACCTCAAACAAAATGTCTAAAACCAGATTACCATATTCTACTCCCCCCCAAGAAATTAAAACTACCCCCATCTTTTCCTCTTAAATTGCTTAAATGATGCTATCATTCTTTAAGTCACAGCCTAAGAATCCTCTTTATCTTATTCCTATTCCTTATCTATGCCCCTCCCCTAAACATCACACTAATTATCAAAACTTAGATCTTCAAAGAGTTATTTTTTGCCCTATGATTAAAGGTTGACTGAATATGGTTGTTTTTAACTATTGGAGCTATCTCAGGTACACAATAGCAGGTTTTATTGTGTTTAGAGAAGAATTGATATATTTATCAAGTCCTTGGCTTTTTTCTCTTTTGCAGATCGATGCTTCATCATTTACAATGACATTCTTTGGTCAAGGATATAGCCAAGGTGTTGCTGCTGCTGATAGGAGCAAACCAAACATTAGAATATGTACTCAGGTGAAAGGACCAGGTATTCTGCATCTGATTTAAGATTGCTTGAGAGTTTCACATTGTCTTAAGCTACAGAGTCATATGCTATTACAATATATTCTTTTAAAAGTTTAATTGCTTTAGAAATACATTTGTAAAAATTGATTAAATAATGATTTACATTGTTCTGTAAAAGAGAGGAATGAATTTATTGGTATAATCCGATTTTATTAGTGAATCCCTATCTCTGGTTTTCTTTTAAAGTGTGACTTAATGATTCAGAATGGCAAATTTTAATTAGTGTTAGTAAGAAAAGGGGGTGGTTTATGTTTACCTGTCTAGTCTCATAATCGGAGAGTCACTTTAAAATAGTGTTATTAAAACAGAATTCAAATCTATAGACCAAAGTTTTTGGAATCTATGAACACCCTTAAATTTTTTTGTGAAATCTGTGTGCACATCTGTATTTTTCTGCAGAGAGTAATGGCTTTTGATAGTTTTAAAAAAAGTTCAAGAACTTCTGCTGTAAAGCTCTGGTGGTGTAGTGCCTAAGGCATTTGACTGCTAACCAAAAGGCTGGCGGTTCAAACCTACCAGCCACTCCTCGGAAGGAAGGTTTGGCAATCTACTTCTGTAGTTTTTCCTCCTTGGAAACCCAAGGAGGGGTCACTATGAGTCAGGTCCTACTCAACAGCACAAAACAACAACATGTAGAGACAGTCCTACATGTGAATTATAATTAACTTTAGTTACCATCATTCCTGATATAGCATAGGGGGTGTGTTTTGCAGTTTTATTCTTGCCAGATGGCTATGGTATTTCTGCATCTTGCCCTCTTTTCAAATTTCTAACTGACTTTTTAAGATAAGTTGACCTTGTGTTTATTAGTAAACACTAATGTTCTCACCTCTTATGTTTTTCTTGTTGGTCATTGTCAGGTCAAGTCCATTTTGACTCATGGCGACTTCATGTTTGCAGAGTAGAACTATTCCATATGGTTTTAAACTATGACCTTTTGGAATCAGATCACTAGGCCTTTCTTTCAAGGCACCTCTAAAAAAAAAAAAACAAACAAACAAATCACTGCCATTGAGTCAATTCCAACTCATAGCAACCCCATTGGGTTTCTGAGGCAGTAAATCTTCATGGAAGTAGATTGCCCAGTCTTCTTTCCACAGAGTAACTGGTGGGTTTGAACTGCCAGCCTTCTGGTCAGCAGTCAAATGCTCTGGGTGGGTTCAAACGGCCATCCTGTCAGCTAGTAGTAGAATGCTTCACTGTTTGTGCCATGCAGGGACACCACTCCTTTATGGATGTCTAAGTCAGTCAGGTTTAGTTAGTTTTTCTCCATGAAGTAGACTTTTAAAAAGTGAAGTATGTGAATGAAGGTAAGGGTCAGTTTAGTGTATTAATGGAGAAATACAAAGCCTAGGATCATTGACTTTAATTATTGTCAAGAAAGAGTGCAGTATAGTAGGTAAGAGCATGGACTCTGGAGCTAGCTACCTGGGTGTGATTCCAGTTCAGCCACTTTCTAACTTTAGGCAAGTCACTTAGCCTCTCTATGCCTCGGTTTCTTCATCTGTAAAATAGGGATTAAAATATTACTAATCTCATGTAATTGTTAAAAAAACAAAAAAACTCACTGTTGTCAAGTCGTTTCCAACTCATAGTGACCCCTCCCTGGGTTTCCAAGGCAGTATCACTATGGAAGTAGATTGCGCA